CTGAGGCAGGAGACCACCATGAGTTCAAGGCCAGCCTGGGCTACACAAGTGAGTTCCAGACCAGCCTGGGCTACATGGGAGACCCTGTCTCAAAACTAAAAAAAAAAAAAAAAAAAAAAAAAAAAAAATTGACAAGGAGTGAAAGTGATAATTAAGCTCATCAACTTGACTGGCTTTTGGCCCTCTTAGAGGATTAGTGAAGTAGTTTCCGGGTGTGCCTGTCTGGGCAGGTCATGGAAGTATGATCTTGAGTACGTCATCTGGTCCTTGCCCCTTACTCTCTGGTGCTCTTTTCCTGATATCATGAAGTGAGCAGCCTTTTTCCACCATGCTGTTGCTGCCTTAGAACCAGCCAACCACCAATTGAAATTCTTGAAACCATGAGCCAGTAAACTTCTCTTCCCTTAAATTGTATATGTTAAATATTTCTTCCCCAGTAACAGAAAAGCTGACTTGTACAATGTAACAAGAAAGAACACTTGACAACCAAAGACACTCACACACACACACACACACACACACACACACACACACACACCCGAGACTGGCTCTTGGTGTACCTCAGGGAGGAATGGCGGTAGGAATGAGGAAAAGACAGACGAGACAACAGCAAGGTTCAGGTCAGGGTTCTGTCTCTCCTGAGTAGAGGAGAGGACCTGCCCAAGAACAGAGAGTGTTTATTTATACCCTCAAGAGGTTAGTATTAATTTCAGCCTCTCTAGCCAGCAACCAGTCAACAAGCTGCAGTGGCTGGTTGCCTGCTTTGTGGAGCTCCCCCGCTCTCGGGTTGGCTTCGTCCTGCATGTATGATTGCTTTCCAGCTCTGGCCACTCCCAACATGTCTCTCTTCTCTGATTTGTAAGTGATGAATAAAAGTAAACTTTTAACTGAAGTTGGAAAAGCTCTGCTTAGAGAATACAGTCCAAATATCCGTAACAGTGGACAGCTACCAGTGCAGCTGGCAGCTGGCAGAAGTTGGTGGTGATTTGAACCTTTTATGGCCAACGTCTTACTCTGGCATTGTTTTTATACTTCCTGTGGTACACTTTTCTGCTGGATGTTTAAGACCACGTTAAAGCGAGACCCATATTAATTACTTTTTGCTATTTATCAAGGTCAGTTAAGTCTCCTCAGGATTTTTTGTTGTCTTTTTGAGATGGTCTCACTATGCAATTCAGGCTGGTCTTGAACTCACTTTGTAGCTCAGGCTGGCCTCAAACTCAATGATCCTCCTGTGTCAGCCTCCCAAGTGCTAGGATTACAGGTATGCACTACCATACCCAACTGTTCCCCAGGATTTAACTTGAAACCAAATGCAACACCTCTTAGATCCATTGTTACTGTCCACCATCTGGATGAGTCACAGCCATTGCTTGCCCTAATTGCTTTCTGTGAAAGCTTGAGAGACCTTTCCCTCTTCAGGTGACTCTCCTTAGGCACACTACACATTGTAGAATCACTTTCCTCTGCGGTCCCATAATCTTCTTGACAAGAAAATCAGGGACTCAACTGAGTTCTAGGATGTCCTAGCAGAGTCTTCTGTCCTGGGTTCTCACTGACCTTGGAGGGCTAACGCACAAATGTTGGCCATCTTCTCAGCCCCTTTATTTCTCTAATTCTTAGGGCTCCAAACCTCAGTTGTTAAACAGCCATAAGAGAAACTTAATGACATTACATTATAACGGAGGCAGTAAACTCAAAATTACTATCTTATCTGAATATCCAACATGGTAGAACGTAAAATAGAAGCAATTACTTTGTAGCAACCATGGATATTCTAATATTTAAGTCCCTATAGAATTTATCAGATAATAGTTACATATTTTTACATAGAAATTAGAAGTCAAAACCATACATTAGGGCTGGGGAGATGGCTCAGTAGGATAAGCGCTTCCCTGGCAAGCGCAAGGGCCTGAGTTCAATCCCCGGTTCCGCAAAACAAACAAACAAACAACAACAGAAAAAAAAAACATACATTATATTGCCACATGACAATCATGATGACATTTTATAACATAATTAAATTTTCATTCTAACATAATATAATATCGTCAACCAACCATCTCTACTAATACATAAGAAGCTTTTACCTAACTTATTGTTCATTAATAGGATATACATCATATAAGTTCTTTGTCAAAGGCAGAAGCCTAAATCTGAACATAAAGTCTTAGCATATACAATCCTTGCTTTACATTTTGGATGACCTGTACATCTAGAATCATGAGTACATTTAATATGCCATGAGATTAACACTAATGAGTCACCATACACGGGTAAAAGCCCTTCTTAGTTTCACACTAAGGGCATCTTTTATGAGAAAACTTTATTCTAGAACACTTTATCTTTTGACGATGACCAAATTATTGGGGTGTCTCCCAAGAGACTGTGGAGATCATTGGGGCTCTCTATTCACCAACTGGAGTTCTACTCAAAAATTTCTCCCCACCCTAAGGAATTGTGGTTAAATATCTTAATTTTTGATGAGCTGTGAGAAAGCCAATTTTGATAACATTATGACCAGCTGGCAACTCATGAGAAAGCCTGCTTGAGTCTGTAACTCAAAATGTATTATGCCAAAAAAAAAAAAAAAAAAAAAAAAAAAAAAAAAAAAAAAAAACAACTTTTTTTTCCCCCGTTAACCCAAAAAAAAAAAAAAAAATGTATTATGAACACACGATAAGAGAAAAATGGTTGAGCTCAAAAATGAACAGCTGTTCACAGAATGACACACAAACTACTAAATGAGTACACAAACACCTTACAAAATCAGAGTGCACTCAAATGTATTCTAGACCAAATTGAGTTATAGTAACTTTAGTACAATTTTTAGAAATTTATATAGACTAGTCAGATTTTGTTGTTTATCAATCCGCAGAGATCTCTCATCAGAAAAAATTTGGAGGGAATACAGTCATTTAACTATACCATGTATATTCTGCATTTTATTCTGTCATTTTCAGCTCAATTTTGTGTATGTGTTTGGGAATCAAACTCAGGACCTTACACTCGCTAGGCAAGCACTGTGCTGCTGAAATGTATTCCTGGCCTAGCTCAATTATTTCTATATACTCTTATCAACTACTGAGATCTTTAATTTCCATTTTGATTCCTATTTCCTGGGCTTTCTGGCTCATTTTGTTTGGTTGGTCCCAAGTCAGATCCAGCCTCCTCATCTGTCAGCTATAGAGCGGTCCTTGAGGCATCCCCGGCACAGCACGGTCCACCAGCTCCCCAAAAAGGAGAACCGGCTTCCACTCCAGATCTGAACTCGTGGTACAGCCTGATAGCACATTCTGGCAAATTATCTTTTTTTGTTTTACCTCACTGAATTGTCTTTCTGCGGCTACACTTCTATCTTCTGTAGAATTTAAAAAGTTAAGAGTATATACTGCCAAAAAAAAAAAAAAAAAAAGAGTATACTGTCCAGTAAAGTCTCACCTTTATATGAGGCGTGAATTTTGTAGGTAAAAATTCACTCTTTTTTGTATATGTGATTGTTCCTTCATGCATTTATTTGCTTCAGTTAGTTAAGGTGTCCAACACTTACTCAAGGACTCTGGCCCTTTTATTTTTGTAACTGAATGTTGATCATACGATGAGAGACCTGTATCCTACATTTTGGAAGAGGAAGCCATCACATAGCCTCCTTTACCCGAAAGTACTTCATCTGTGAAAACAGAAGATTGAAATAATTTGTCTGAAGGATAATAACAATAACACCAGAGAACTTGGCCCAAAAGAGGAAATTTTCTGGTTATACTGTAAAATAAAACAGAGCAGAACGGCAAGTGAGACCGAGACAGGCAAGGCCTAGAGGAGAGCGCACCAGAAGGCAGGCACCCTCGTGAGCAGCTGAGGCTGGAGACCGCAGGTTGGGGCTGGGTCAGGCTGGACACCTTGCCTCCCAGCCATCCTTGAGGAAGTCAGGTCACCTAAAGGCATCAGGTGCTGTGCCATGGGCCCCTGCAGTGGATGGTGGAGCGAGCCACAGCGGCCCTCCCGGTCCCAAGCATCCACAGCGTGGCCTGGAGAACTGGGGAATGCAGCTGCTCCCAGTCCCCCCCGGAGCACACGGAGCTGCTCCCTGGAGCAGAGCCGCAAGTCCACAGGGTGGGGCGGGGCAGTGCTCACAGGGCCGCACACTGTCCTCTCTGGCCTCCGAGCGGTGGTTGTGCAAACACACTCAGGCCTCAGGGACTGGGAGACCAGCTTTGAGAATAGAGCAATAAATAAATAAATAATAATAATACAATAAACCACCCAACCCCTTCCCCTCTGCTCTCCTCTCTCTTCTGTCCATCTACCTATGCCTGTCTGTCTCCCTTCCTGTCCTCCCCATCTCCTCTCCTCTCCTTTCCATCCCCTCTCTCTTCTCTGCTCCCCTCTCTGTCCTCTCCCTTTCCTTTCTTCTCTATGCCCTCTCCTTCCCTATGTCCTGTCCTCTCCTCTCGTCTCCTCTCTTCACCTCTTCCCTCCTCCGCATATTTCAGCCCCACCGGCCATGGCTTCCTCACAGAGGAAACAGTACAAGCCTAGATTCCAGTCCAGCTCTGGAAGGGGCCGGCTGGGCTCTGCACCTTGCACTGCACTCACAGGTGCGCTCTGCACCCTGCTCTTCCCTGGAGATGGAGCTTCCTGGCCAGGAGAGGCCTGAGCATCAGGTGGAGGACAGGATGAGCACCTTCCTCAGGGTGTGCTGCAGGGAGAGGCTGTACCTCTGCTGGGCGGGAACCATGCTGTTCCAGTCGTACACTCTGCGGTTGAGCTCGACATGCAGGTCCAGCAGTGGGTGTTTTCTGGAAGAAATAGGAGGGCAGGACAGAATGCATGTGAACACAGATCTGGAAGCGCTGCCACCCATGGGGCAGCACTGGGTCTCACCACCTGGATGGCAAATGCCAGGCACTACTGCACCACGAGGAGACCCAGAAAGGCCTGGAAGGTCGAGCCACTGGAGGGGCTGGGGAGAGCTGTGAGGCCCGCCTGGCCCAGAGCCACACCTGGAATGTACCTGGCAAGGGCTCAGAGATGGCTGGGGGACCCTAAAACGGTCAATCAGCTGTCCACATGAGGGACACCGTGGCTCCACTCAGTCTAATTGGAAAGCGGGTTGCTGATAATTCCTTCAGAATAGTACTCTCACCATAAACATCAGAATGCCAACAGCAGCCCTCAGCATGGGGATGCAGCTCTAGCCAGCCCACCCCACTCCCACCCTTCGAGCTATCAGCTCTGGAGGACACAGCAAGGCTGCAAGAACATGGCCCAAGCAAGGAAACTGCCACCGCGGCCTGGAGGATGGGGGTTGGTTGGGTGCAACAGGTTTGAAACATGGTGTCCCTGGGCTGGGCATGGTGGTCCCATCCCAGAGGCCACCCTGGGATGCCAGGAAACAACTAAGGATGAAAAATACTATTCAAAAGGAGAATGTTGGGGCCAGGGAGATGGCTCAGTGGAATAAGCACTTGCCTGGCAAGCGCAAGGGCCTGAGTTCAATCCCTGGTTCCACCAAAAAAAAAAAAAAAAACAAAAGGAGAATGTCTGGGCTGGCCAAATAGCTCAGCAGGGGCTGTGGGTTCGATCCGGGGCACATTGAGATGGCAA